TACTTCAAGGCACGACTCAAGACCCTCCTTTTTGACTGTGCTTTCAGCCGCTCTCCTACCCCCTCTGCCCTCACTCATCCCAACCATGCCCCCCCACCCGGGTCCTGATCCCTGACTAATCAGCGCCTTGGGACGTTCTCCCAACATGAAAGGCACTTTACAAATGTAATTTTGTTGTTGTTATTAATATTTCTTTGGTTCCACCATATTATGATATATATTCATCCATGAGAAAGATTGGATGCAACTGTGGTTCTGGTTACTTATTATATCCTCAAGAGGTACAATGATTAAAATGAACAGAAAAATCATGTAAGGTACTGATTTGTTAACGTAGCTTTTAAGGCACCTGCTCAAAGTCTTTGTAAAGGTAATGAATCCAGCCTGCCTCAGTTTTGAATTATGCAGCCATACATATAGTGAGCTTCAATACAATGGAGTGGAGTAGGCACAATAGAGGCATCACTTCCAAGTGATCTTTCTATTGATAAGACACAAAGCAGCATCAGTGTCATATGTGCATATGTCTAGAGGTCCCCATCCTTCTACATTTGGGAAACAACATATCAAATCAGAACTGATGTGAGACAGGAAAAACCTGTTTGTGAAATAACCCTGTATAGAGAAAATGAACCGTTCTTCCACAATGTCAGAACTTTGGTAAGATAATGCATGACTTACCTCAGCCTCAAAAAACCTTCCACTTGTCTATTTCATAGCTAAAGCTGTGAAGGGACACAGACAGCAGTAGAAAATAATATTTTACAAATAAACATGTTAAATCACATTTCGTTATGGTGCTAACATTGAATCCAAAGTCTTACTTGTGTCTCAGATTCGGGGTCAAGGTTACTTTTAGAGAACACCTTTACTTAATGTTAAAATGTTTACTGGGGTGTGAGAAGCTAAGAATGGCTTCTATTTCATTTGTGCTAAGTCATGCAGAAGAAGAAATTATGTGGATAACATTTGCTTTGAGAATATTTTTCTTTCCTTAAAACAACTCTTGAATAAAATTAGTAGTCTCTACTTTGAATGGATAATTAGATTTTTCAAATTAGTATAGTGAAGCTTCTTAAAAAGACTATATAACACCTAGTTTCTAATGACTAGAGTATAAGAATACACAAATTCTATTGGAATAGAGGACCAAGGACTAATTATAGTACTTGGCTCTTGCCTGAAGCCTTAATTACCATTTTGTCCCCTAGTTTAATGCTGAGAATTTGCATTTGTATACTATATCCATAAGATGATGTGTGGGAAAAAATATCTTTTGTTAAAGGATTACTCCAGAATTAGCCTTTATAATGGCCAGATCCTGGCCTATCAGGACTATGTGCAATATAAAGCCCTATAATTAACATTGATTAACATTCATAATCTTTTGTTTCCTTCTCTCCACTTCAGCACTTTTGCTGAAAAAATGTGTTTAAATCGTAGACAGACAATTGCTCATGTTACTGAGTGCAGAGAGGGCTATGATGTGCGTTAAGATCGGAAGGTGAATGTAACATTTAGTAAATCTCCAATATTGCGGTACTTAGTGGAATGAGCATGCTTAGTCAGTATACTTAGTGAGTGCTGAGAAATACCAGCTTGAGGGAAGTACTGAAGCTGACTGTTAGGGAACTGAATTCATATTACTAGAGATATCAATCATAAATCCAAGGATGACTCATATAACTATATATATAGTGCTCACTCACCATGTCAAGCTGATAACCTCCCAAACGGAACCACCATCATATCAGAAACAGAGAAATATGTTTAATAGGAACATAGGAACAGGAATCGGCCATTCAGCCCTTCGAGCCTGTTCCTCCATTTATTTAGATCATGGCTGATCTGTACCTCAACTAATCCTTTCAATTCCAAATAATTTGTTCATTCTCTTCCACCTATCTGTTTTGAAGGCACGTTCGTATCTAACATGTGGTTCCATGAGCTCAGGAAGTCCTTTGATACTTCTCTCAAGTGAGCATTCTTCATATATGACCCAGCCTGTGAGTGTTGGCAAATGATTTGATTGTGGAGGGCAACACAGTTAAATCTGATCCTGTTTTCTCTCATTGTTCCATGCAGATACTTTCTAACAGAAGTTATTGGGTAGTGATGCCTGAGTTTGCCATGGAGAAAACAAGAATGTTTGCTTTCTGTATATGATCTTGCGTGCTGCAATAAAATACTTTCTCCAGCTTAGTCTATCAGATTAAAATTGATTTAAGAGTTGTACTTATTCACAGTTCAAAAATTCTAAAACTGCGTTTTAATAATTAATTTGTATTAGCTCCAAAAAGCTTGATACTCTATTAACCTAATTTAGTAGTTCCCCCTATCCTCCCCACCCCCCCACCCCAGTCCAATCCAAACAGAACATCTATAATATACAATTCATAGAAACTGGAGTCTCAATAACCAGTTTGTGTAGCTTAGTTTGGAATAACATATTCACTCCAGATTCATCAAGTCTGTTAGTCTATCTTGTCTGGCAAACTGGCAAAAGAGAAAACTGTTAAGTAACCCTTGCTGCATTACACAGAAGCTCATCTCTTGACAGGATTGCTAAGATACGGAGCTTGTGAGCCTTACAAGCATTGTTTTGTACATATAATGACCAAGGGACCAACAAACTGCAAAAATGGTTCAATAATGAAAAATTACTCAGTAATTTTATAATAATAATCCTTGAATTTAATACAGCACCTTATCACGTCTTCGAAACGTCTCAAAGCGCTTCACAGAATATTAATAAGATGCACCAAAACAATAATTCTGAATTAGTACCAGAAAGAAATCTCCCCAGCAAGTGAATTTTCCGCGCAACCTCCTCTCAAGATATTTGCATTGGCGATCAAGATCAGAAAACTGTGTATTTTGTTGGCAGATATGTACTCCGCTCTGCTAGTTTACGCTGATCACAGAGACAGGAAGCACTGAAGCAGAATAGAGGTCAACACTATTTGTGAACAAGACACATTGTTCCCTATTTTGATCTGTGCTACAAAGAATGAAACACCTTACCAGCAGATTGAACATAAAACACAATTTTCAGCAAGAATGTGTCTTTAATTAGGATTTATCATCTGGGATAAAAAAATGGAATTCTGGGAAGTTTCAGTGTTAAATCAATAACATAGTAACCCTCACAGCAACCCTCATAGTCACTTATTTAACGTTTGGTATATAGAAGCACATTTTTGTAGCTAATTTGCTCATAAAAAACACACATAAATATACTTTTTCATAATACCTTGTCACAAAGGCAATATTTAGATATGATTTGAGACGTCCGCCCAATATACATGAAAGGCAGTAAATAAATATAAATTATATTGTATTGTTTGACCTATTGTGATAATCCTCCACGATTTAAACCAATACTGTAATTTTGTTGTTGTTGTAGTAATGTGTGATTTGTTTAAAATGAAAGTTGTTTGTTTCCCTTTAGCCCCACTCCCATCATTAACACACTGTATGTGCCTTCCCCCTAGCATCCAGTATCCCACCAGACTGAGCATCATTGATGTGTAACCCAAATGGGTAAGAGGCTGGAGGTGTGAAGGGCACCACAACTGAGACTGATTATGTCCACGCACACACTATGATGACACTGTCAAGCGTTCGCAAACTCACTTCACCAACAGTGTCTGGCAACGGAAACGCTAGTCAATTTTATTTCCCTCACTCAGGGACACTAGACCAATTATATAATTTCAGTTGCATCCCTGCTTTAGGACAGTTATCTCAGCAAATTGGATTTCAAACTGGTGATCCTTCCATATGGTTCAGTGCTAAACAGGACAGTGCCTCTATTGATCACCTTTTCACAATTAATATAAGTAAATGGTAGCTATCAGTGTGCCATCAGGCATCTGCTACTTTTAAATAATAATATTTTGTATCAACTCTACGAATAATATTCTAGGTTTTCTGTTTAACCAATAACAATTTTGAAACATACACACACAAATCAAGGTCAAAGCTGGGCACAAAAATATGAAATATCAAATAATGCATAAAACACTGAGCTTAAATCCATAATTAAAACAATAAACTTCAAGGCAAATTGCACTGCCCAAATCAACCCCTACTGAATCTCTCAGGGCAAAATAACATTAGCAGCTTGGAAATACAGGTATGAACATTTTAAATAATCTGACACCCATCAAAATGCTTACATCTGGAAGGAGCTAGAATGAGAATGCCATACAAAATATTTACAACCTTGTTCAATTCACTCTTATTTGTGTCACCTTTTCTCTGTTTATTGATGTCCACATCCTCTATTGGTATTTCAGGGTTAAAGGGCAGGGTGAAGCCTTTTGATGCAATTGATTACATTTTTGACACATTGAATAACGTGATTTATTTTTGTGTAAATTGCTATTTGCTTATCTACAGACATTTAGTAACTATTATTTGTTTCATACTTAGAAATGTTGTGGGATGATTTTCTAAAATGTGCTCTGCTTTTACCTTTGAATTCCCCTGTTTTGGCAGAGTGGGTAGATAACAAACATCTTGTGCAAAAACAGTCAGCGGATAAAACATTCATAAGACGGGTGAATATGTTGATGTTGATAAAAAAAAATGGTTTTAGATTCCTTTGTACTCAATTAAATGAATAAAATTGACTGGAAAGATTGGTGCAAACAAAAGCGTTTAGAATTCAATTAGAATTTGAACTTATTTTAAATGTAGTTGGTTCTGAAAGATATTAAATGAGCGGCCTTAGAATCTCAATGGCCTTGTGAGGACAAAACGGAATGAGGTTTGCTAAAGTATTGCAACCCATTATATTATTCCAGATCTGATCCATGCCATTTTTCTGTCTCTGCCTCTGATCCATGTCTGTATTTTCACAAAACCACCTCTCCACTATTTCAGTGATAACCTTGGAACTTGCTACAGAGCTGTTCAAGGTTATTTGGCAGCCAGGGTATAAAAGATCTATCAGGGTCCTGTTTCTCAAACATAAACAGTAATACTCCTAGCAGTCTAGTTGGCTGGGGTGCTGCTGTTTTTGCAGTCATGGCGTTTAGTTCTCATTCTACTCGTCAAAGAAAATGTCATTGTGAAAAGGATAAGATTAATCAAGGCAGCATCCTTTACCATATCCTGAACCACGAGAGACATCTACCCAGCTGCAGTTGTTCATGTGAATCGAAGGAGAAGGTAATGCTGGAATCACCTTATGTAACCTGTAAAGCTGCTTCTGAAGTTCTCCTTAAAACTGTGAACTTCATTAAAAATTTGCCATCTTTTCATGGGTTGCTACAGCAGGATCAATTTCTGTTGCTAGAGAACTGCTGGGCTCCTCTCTTTGTGCTGGGCTTAGCTCAGGAAGGGGTGGATTTTGAAGTGACTGAGCCAAAGACAAGCATCTTAAAAGAGATTTTGATGAACCAAAAAAGTAGAAACTACCACGAGAAAATGTGCAGCCAGTTATCCGCAGCAGAAGTGCAGAAAGTAAAGTCTTTCCTAACAAAATGCTGGAGCATTGACATCAGCACAAAGGAGTATGTGTACTTAAAGGGGATCATTTTATTCACTCCAGGTGAGTGTTCCCACTGCAACTTTAGCATTGGTTTAAAAGAAATGCAATTAATGACCAGGCAATTGACAATATTTAAGGTTACCAAGGCAATGTTAATTATTTCAGTTAAGCTATTAAATGACAGGAAAACATGTTTCCACAGCCAAACAGAAAGTCAGAACTTTACTGAACTTAATGCTGATTTATTTATGATCAGCAAATTCTAAGATTCTGGCAATTTGTGTTTTATTTAATGGGGAGTTTCAGAATTCGAGCAGGAAGGTGATTGCTGAATGGGATGTATTGGGGGAACAGCAAGCTGTACCCTTTTATTTTAATTCAACTGATTCCCTTTGGAATCATTTGGTGCAAATTAGTTTACCATTTTTCTGCTACAAACCTCAGGAAGTCTCCAATATATCTGAGGCTTTGTATTTTAATTGAACTTTCTATCATCGATCATAATGAAGACAGATATAATACAAAATTGATGCTAACCATAGTCTAAAATAATAAAAGTAAATTCTAAAGAATCACGAACAAATGTGTTAGCTCTTTAAGGACTGGATTTGCATTCAATTATTAATAATAGCTTACATTTACAGCTCATTTCATGTCAGGAGCACGTCTCAAAGCTCTTCATGAATATAGTTTAAAGTCTAGTGACTGTATTTTGTAGATGAGCTGTATTAGTGCAATTATTACTTTTAATTATTGGTACGATTAAATATAACTACACATTCTGAAAATTACATTCCATTTTAATAATAATAATAATCCTTGCATTTGATATACATCTCATCACATCATTGAGGATTTACTGTGAAGTGTTTTTGATTGTGTGTTTTGTGGATGAAACACAGCAGCCAATTTTTTGTGCACACCAATGTCCCACAACCAGCCATGAATCCATTACATTGTATTGCATTGAAAGTTAGAAATTTTCAGAAATGTCTTCTCAGATCTTACATGAAAAAACACTGAGATCCTTTCCTAAAATATTTATCTCTTTCCATATTCCTATCATCGTTTATCACCGGTGATAATTATCCCATACTTATTTTTTTTAAAAACCCTCAATAATGTGTATAAAAAAGAAATGTAACAAAGCAATTTATTGCTAGAACTGTTTCTGTTAAATAATTGTAAAATTCAACAGAGGGAGAAACAGAGCACGAGGAAGCTAGCTCAAAATAGGTGGATACAGAAATTCAGACTCAGTGAAAAGTAGCTATATTTGCAGATGGCACAATCTGGGGAGGAAACTCTGAAAATTGGAGGGAGCAGCCAAGATTTTATAAACAGAACTCAACAGAATATACTCCTGGGCTAATCACCAGCGAATAAAGTTCAATACAAATGCAAGGTACTGCCTTTTGGAAGTAAAAATTTGAGGCTTGCATTCTATGTTGATGGCACAGGAGTTATCAAGAAGAAAACTGAAAGAGATCTAGAGGCATTAGATATCACATGTCTAAGCAGTGAGATTAACAATTTATGTTTAAGGTGTGAAGTGCATCGGATTCGACTGCACTTGAAATAATCTGTGCATTCTATTTGTTGTGACATAAAGGGAGGTAAAAGAGTTCTCCAGACCCCAAGAGACAATCCAGAGGAGAGCAACATGGTTGGTTTCCAAATTCAATAGTTTCAGTTATACCAACTATTCTACCACAGCAGGACAAGAGAACACAAGTTCAGCATTGTTTTACTTCACATCCAATGCTTTGCACAGAATAACTTTCCCACTTTTTGATGCAGTTCTGATGGAGAAAACAACTTTTTTGTAACTATGGCAGCAATGTTTTAACAAAAAAATTGCACTGCAATTTTTCGGATAAACGGGTTGACATTTTTCAGTCGTTATTCAGTTAGACTGAATGAAAAACAACCAGTTGGTCCTGGTAGCCAGGATTTGCTTCAAATGATGCTGGTGACTAAATAATGCAGCATTCAACACCTGAAAAATATCATTAGCTTTACTGTTCTGAATGTCAAGGATCAGGTCTGGTGACAACCAGTATAATGAAGAGTTTGATTGGAGAGGAGCATTTTAGCAACGTATACCGTGTTTGTTCCACTTCAAGGCTGTGCATAACCTAGCTGCCATGTTTACCTATAAAGTACACAGTTGCTACGCTTTACAGAATACAACAACAACTACTTGCATTTATGTAGCAGCTTTCATGCTGGACAGGGTCTTGGAGCTTTTTAAATCATAGAATATCCTATGAACCGTTTTGAGATGTCCTCCTGACGTGACAGATGCTACATCAAATAGAACAATTATAGGATTTTTAATGCCATCACAGCGTTTTAATAAGAAACTCCTGAATTACTTCTTAAGATATGGCTTTACTTTCAATTTAAGTCTTGGTTCAAGCGATCAGTATTTGTTAAATGTAATTCGATAATCAAGTCAGTGAATCTCTGCTAAGACTGCCTTCCCTAATCTTTTCTGTTTTGTTATGCAGATGTGTCAGGCCTTGGTTCCCCACAATACATCCTGTGTCTACAACAGGAAGCGGAACTTGCTCTTACTGACTACATCCACTCTCTCCACCCTCAGGACAAAACTCGCTTCAGCCAGATACTCTTTGCACTGACTTCCTTAAAAACTATTAACGCACATATTATCACTGAACTATTTTTCCGACCACTGATTGGAAATGTCCAAATGAATGCTTTGCTAATGGAAATGTTGTATGCAAGCTAATAGCGTAATTATTTGTTCAAGCCATCTCCATGATGCAATCATTTGTGTGTTCTGTTGAAAATGTTAACTTATTTGTCAGAATTGTGTTTTTAGGTGTTAATGTATGAAAACGTAAGGTGTATGTATGATCATGCCTCCATTTTGCCTAACGTGCTTATATTGAGAAATAGAATGTGCACTAAAAAATATTAAAATTAATGAATTCATTCTTAGCATGTAATTTCTCATATTGTCTAAACATAAAGGATCACAATTTGTTAGTACAGGTGGTTATTTCATGTGTTGAATTTCATTAAACAATAAGGTTGTACATTTAAGCAATTGTGTTGAACTACATGTGTTACCATGGATGTATGTATGTTGCATAAAACCTGGTTAACCGTGGTAACTGTCACAGTGAAACCGTTTAAGAGATTTACCTTTGATCTGCTTGAGATCATAGAATCATAGAAACGTACAGCACAAAATGAGGCCATTCGGCCCATCGAGTCTGTGCCGGCTCTTTGAATAGAGCAATTAATGTCAATCCCACTCCCCAGCCCTTTCCTCATAACCCTGCAAACCCGTCCTCCTCAAATACCCATCTACCGTGTTTGTAAAAGTAGTTATTGAATCGGCCTCGACCAGCCTTTCAGGTAATGCATTCCAGATTCAAACAACTCGTTGCGTGAAAAAATTTCTTCTCACCTCCCCTCTGCTTCTTTTAGAGACTATTTTGAATCTGTGACCTCGAGTCACCGACACACCCACCAGTGGAAACAGTTTTTCCCTTTCTAACGTATCAAATCCCCTCATGATTTTGAAGACCTCTATTAGGTTTTCTCGTACCCTTCTCTGCTCCAATGAGAATAATCCTCGCCTCTCTAACCTTTCCTCATAATCAAGGTTCCTCATTCCTGGTACCATCCTCGTAAGTCTCCTCTGCACCCTTTCCAATGCCTTAACATCCTTCCTATAGTGTGGTGCACAGAACTGGGCGCAGTATTCTAACTGAGGCCTAACCAGTGTTTTATATAGGTTAATCATAACCTCCTGACTCTTGTACTTTATGCCCCTAGTTATAAAGCCTAGTATCCCATATGCCCTTTTTACAGCTTTATCCACCTGTCCTGCCACCTTCAAGGATTAATTTACCTGCACCTCCTGGTCTCTCTGTTCTTTTTCTCCCCTTAAGATTGTATTACCAGCCTATATTGCCTCCCCTCATTCTTTCTACCAAAATGCATTACTTCGCATTTCTCCACATTGAAACTCACCTGCCATGTGTCTGCCCATTTTAGCATTCTGTCTATGTCTTCCTGCAGTTAGCTCCTATCCTTCTCACTGTTTACCACCCTACCTAACTTTGTGTCGTCTGCAAACTTGGAAATGGTACTTGCTATACCCAAGTCCAGATCATTTATGTATATTAAGAAGAACAGCGGTCCTAATTCCGATCCCTGTGGGGACGCCACTGTACACTTCCCTCCAGTCAGAAAAGCAGCCGTTCACCACAACTCTCTGCTTTCTGTCTCCCAGCCAGTTTCTTACAGTTGCTTACTTCTCATGAGTTTTTTGTTGTGCTCAGATATGTAGCATTTTATTTATGGCAAATAGTGTACTGACAGAGCTCAATATCATACCTTCTGCAGCAGTGTGAAATTATCAGACCTGATAAACAATAAATCTTTTTGCTCAGAGCAGACCACTAAGCGTCATAGGTTGTCGACACAACAGTGCTTTGAGACCCACTATTAGTGCTGTTAATCTTTATCTCAAGCTGCTGAACTTTTACTCTTTTTGCTGAACATGTCATTTCAAGTTATTCAAGATCAGTGAAGCAGCTGCAGATTATAGAAAGTGGAGAATATGTAGAGTTGAACATCGAGGGATGCGGGGGAGGCATCTCCTATTTAACAAAGGACAATCTTTTTATAACTTTGAGACAGCAAGGTCCTTTTCAGATTCCATCCATTCCTTGCTGCTATATTTCCCTCCTTTTGATTTGCCTGAAATTAGTTCACAATATACTGTACTTAGCTTACGTTTCAGGCAGTGATCAACATGGAAGTTCTACCTTCTGTTCACCCACAAAATACACAGGCTTCACTTTATCCTATGAAGTGCATCCTGATGTATACATCAATTCACTTGATAGTATATTGTGTGAAGCGCTTGAGATGTCTCGAACACATGAAAAGGTGCTATACCAAATGCAAGGATTATTGTTATTATAAAAGGCATTATTCCAATGATAAGGATTATTAATATTTATTCAGTGCTCTGAAAGGAAAGATCAGTCCTGTAGAGTCCTGTGGAGTCCTGTAGCTCAGTGGTTAGAGCACTCGCTTTGCAAGCGAGAGACCTGAGTTCAATTCCAGGCAGGGCGAAACCTTGGGCAAGTTTCCTTACTCCACACGCCTAATAATAATCCCTCCAAAAAAACAAAAAACAATAATAAAATTGGTCATTTTCAATCTACGACTGTTTGTGGGACATTGCTGTGCGCAATTGGCTGCCGCGTTCGCCCACAAATATACAGTCAATTCACTTTACAGTGTGTTCTGTGAAGCGCTTTGGGACGTCCTCCCGATGTGAAAAGCGCTATATCAAATGCAAGGATTATTATTATTATTATTATTATTATTATTATTATTATTATTATCAACCTTATGCAGAACTTGTATCAAAACAATAATTGGTTAATTTGATTGAACATTAGAAAAAAGTTAGACAATGGATTCTCTTACTTTACAGAAACACTATAAAGGATTCCTTAGAATATTGCAAAAGAGTGTTTGCTAATGTCAGCAAGCTATGTGGCTTCAGAATTCATGTAAAGGAGATCGCCATCATTGAATAGGAAGTTGAGTACTGGTGAATCTAGAGAATTTGAGTATTGATGCTCAATGGATGAAATGGATTTTAATGTGAATGAGTATAAGGTAATGGTGTGAAATGAAAACAGGATGAATAAGATCACCATAGGAAAAAGTAGAAAAGAAAGAAGATTTGGATGTGACTGAACCATTCACAGAAAATCTCTTGCTAACAGAAGCCTAATCCACAAGGAAAACCGAGCACTGAAATGCTGTTTAGTGTCTCACAGTATGTTATGTGTAAATTGTGCAAGTTTAGTTTTACACTAAAGTAACATTGCAAAGTGCGGCAATAATTAACTTTGCCATTAATTTGCATTGGTGTAAATTATGGATTAGCACAAACTTTTATCCAACATCTTCTCCTCCCATTTTCATGCTCTTCCCCACTCCCCCATCCACCCCCCACCCCACCAAATGCAATTCTATTTTACTCAAAGTGCAGTAGTTATCTAATTCACTTTTAAATCCTATTGTGGACTCAGTTTTAACAGCTATTTGTGGGTAAAGATTTCTACATTCATTATGTAAAAAAAGCTAGCCTTTATTTTCTTCTGTTGAAAATCTTCAGTTTATGACATTTGTTACTGGATTATGGGAAAAGTTAACAGCTTTCTGTTTAAAAATGAATGTAATAAACTGACCTGTCCATTTCCTGCCAATAGGCCTGATCTATATAAATGACTTGGACTTGGGTTGGGTATAAGGAGTACAATTTCCAAATTTGCAGATGATACTAAAATAGGAAAAGTAGTAAACAGTGAAGAGGATAGTAGAGACTGCAAGAGGACATAGAGAGACTGGTAAAATGGGCAGACACGTGGCAGATGAAGTTTAATGTGGATAAATGCAAAGTGATGCATTTTGGGAGGAAGAATGAGGAGAAGGCAATATGAGTTAAATGGTACAACCTTAAAGGTGGGGGTGAAGGAACAGAGAAACCTGGGGGTTCATATAAGTAAATCTTTGACGGTGGCAGGACAGGTAGATAAAGCTGTTAAAAAAACATAAGGGATTCTAGGCTTTATAAGTAGGGGGATAGAATACAAAAGTCAGGAAGTTATGATGAACCTTTATAAAACACTGGTTTGGTCTCAGCTAGAGTACTGTGATCAATTCTGGCCACCACACTTTAGGAAAGATTTCAAGGCATTGGAGAGGATGCAAAAGAGATTTACCAGGATGGTACTAGGAGTGAGAGATTTCAGTTATCAGGAGAGGCTAGCGAAACTAGGATTATTCTCTTTGGAGCAGAGAAGGTTAAGAGGAGACTTAATAGAAGATTTCAAAATTATGAGGGGACTCGATATGGTGAACAAGGAGAAACTATTTCCACTGGTGGGTGGGTTGGTAACCCGAGGACATCGATTTAAAATAGTTGTTAAAAGAAACAGAGGGGAGGTGAGGAGAAATGTTTTCACAGAGTGAGTTGTTCGGATCTGGAATGCATTGCCTGAAAGGATGGTGGAAGCTGATTCAATAACAACTTTTAAGAGATAATTATTTGGGGAGGACAAGTTTGCAGGGCTATGGGAGAGCGGGGGCGTGGGATTAATTTGGATAGCTAGCACAGACATGATGGGTCGAATGGCCTCCTTCTGTGCTGTATAATTTTATGATTCTATGATTTTCAATGTTATCAAACCTCATGTCATGGCAGAAATTCACTTTATAGAGTATTTTCTTTCAGCATGATCCTGCATACAGTGGTGGAGATAATTGTTGCCTGAGAGTCACAGGCAGATATTCAGTTGAGTGGTTCTGATATTATCAATGGTGAGAGAAAAAGTTGAGCAATTAACGCACATCAGGAGGGGCCTAAGAATGAATTACTGACTTGAACTCACCGCCAATTATATGTCAGGTTTCCTTATAATAGTCTATATTTTAAAAATAAATGGATGTATTGAAATGCCCTTATTTTTATTCAATAGGTGTAGCAAGTACAGTGAAAACTCTCATGAATATATGATTGTAGTGCCTGATTTGGGTTAGCTTCTGTATGAAGTCTTTGCTCTGTGCCCCCACAGGTTAACCACCAGCTTCACTTCACTACCAGTAACAACAACAATAACAAGATTCCATTTATAGAGCGTCTTTCACGTTGGGAGAACGTCCCAAGGCGCTGTACAGTTGGGTCAG